AAAGAAGCTGAGCGAAATCCTGTTTCCTCTCATCTCCCAGTAATAGATGAACGACTCATAGTTTCATATTTATATATATATACATATATACTGTACATTTATATTTGTGTGTATATACTTAAATATATGCACGTGTATCAAACGACATGCAATGTTAGCATAGTTCATAGTTCCGTTTTAATGAGATATTAAAGAAATAATAAAATTTATATAATTAACTATAAATATTTATTTGGTATCTATACATAACGGAGTTCCTAACCAGGCTTATTTTTTAACCACTTTCTTGTTTGTGGATTTCTTCTCCGTTTTCTTAGCTGCAGACTTCTTGGTCATTTTCTTGGTGGCTGGCTGCTTGAGCGCGGTTTTCTTTGTCGGCGTTTTCTTGGTTGTAACTTTCTTTGTCGAAATCTTTTCCTTTGTAGTTTTCTTCAGTGATTCCTTCTTAGCGCTGGCTTTCTTCGTCACGTCTTTTTTGGCGGATATTTTCTTCGCTGAAGTCTTTTTGGCGGATGTTTTCTTCGCTGAAGTCTTTTTGTCGGCTGGTTTCTTGACAGTGGTCTTCGCGACCGGTTTCTTCGCTTTGCTCCCGCCTTTACTCGCAGCGGGTTTCCTTCCCTCCGCTTTGCCTTCCACCTTGGCCAGCTTGAAAGAGCCAGAGGCCCCCGTCCCCTTCACCTGGACAAGAGACCCGCCGGCAACGCCCTTCTTCAGCGCCAGCCGGACATGAACGCCTGCTTTCTTCTCGTCCTCGACTCCGTAGAAGGTCAGGACGTACTTGAGGATCGCCTGACGGGAGGAGCCACTCCGCTCCTTCAAGGCTCTGATGGCGGTAGCGACCATCTCGCTGTACTTGGGGCGTCCGGCTGCCCCTTCGGCTTTCTTGGCAGCACTCACGACCATTATGAAAACGAGATTTAATGATGTGATACACTCGAAGATGCTGTTGAGAAGGCGTTTGGTGAAGCCAAGGCCGAGGATGTGTTGTGATGAGCTTCGGGCCTGGGAGTATATGTATAGGGCCGTGAGAGAGGGAATGAGGCTTCGCTACCTACCCTCGTGCCCTCTCGGGCTGCATTCAAATCTACTTTGGGCAATTGTCTTTATTGAGCTTTTATTATTACTATTATTAGTATTAGTATTATTATCATCATTAATCTCAATATTACCATCATCATTGATATCATTACTACCAATATGATTATTACATATTATTATTATTATTATTCACTATTGTTATTATTACTATTATCATTACTATTATTATTGTTATTGTTATTATTATTAAAATTAGTATTGCTATTATTATTACTATTAGTATTGCTATTATTATTATTACTATTAGTATTGATATTATTATTATTACTATTATTATCATTATAATTATCATTATCATAATTATCATCATTATTATTATCATTATTATTAATATCATTGTTCTTATCTTTATTGCCATTACTACTATTGTTATCATTGTTGCTGTTTTTGTTCTTATTATTGTTTTTTTATTATTATTATTTTTATAATTATCATTATAATTATGATTATTATTATTATAATTATGATTATTATTATTATAAATACAATTAGCATTATCACCATTATCTTTGTTATTATCATTATTACTCTTAGTGTTATCATTATTATCATTATTACTATTGTTATAATTGCTACTGTTATTGTCATTACAATTATCATCATCGCTACCATTGTTATTATTATTATTGCTATTACTAATATTATCATTATTATTATTATCATTATTCTATCATTAATATTATTATCATCATTATTATTACTTTTGTTGTAGGTATTCTATCATTATTGTTATTATTATTACTATTATTATTATCATTATCATCATTATTATTGTTATTACTATTATCATTATTATAATCATTGCTACTGTTATTATCATTACAATTATCATTATCACTACCATTGTTGTTATTATCATTATTGCTATTATCATTATTGTTATTATTATCATTATCATTATATTTATTGTAATTACTGTTATCATCATTACATTTATTATTATATTATTATTATTATTATTGTTACTATTGTTATCATTACAATTATCATCATCATTATCGCCATCATTATCGTCATTACTACTATAATTTTCTTCTTATTTTATTATTATTATTATTGTTATGATTGTTCTTGTTGTTATTCTTTTTATTATTTTTATTATTGTTATTGCTGTTACTGCTATTAACATTATCATTATTATTATTATTATTATTATTATTATTATAATCATTATTTAAATCATTATTATAATCATTATTTAAATCATTATTATAAATCATTATAATTATCATTGCTATTATTATTGTCTGGTTAACTATTATTATTATTATTATTATTAATATTATTAGAATCATCACATTATTATTATTTCCATTATCATTATCATCACCATCATTACTATCATTATCATAATTATTACCCTAATAATAATAATAATAGCTATTGCCATCATCATTATTTTATTATTATCATCATCTTTATTATTACTACTACTATCATCATCATTATTCTTACAGAGTTATTATTATCATTATTATTACTATTATTATTATCAACATAATTACTGTAGAATGCTAATTTGTTGTATTTGTTTTACATCTATTCATCTATCTATTCCAAATAAAGTCTAAGAAATTATAAACTACCTTGTTTGTTGTACTGTCATTACCATTGTCATTATCAATATTATCACTGTTATTATTATTTTCATTAATATTATTATCATTATTATTATTATTATTATTACTATTATCATTACTATTATCATCATTATTATTATTATCATTATTATTATTATCATCATCATCATTATTATTATTATCATCATTATTATCATTATCATAAGTATTGTTATTATTACCTTGATATCGTATTTCAGTTAATGATACAACATGGAATCATACTTCTGAGTTAATTCCTTCTGCATGGCTTTTCAAAATTCATGTTTTTCCAACTTAATTAAGGTGCAGTTTATAAGGCTAATATAAAATACTATCTATAATTTCATATTGAGAGTAAAAATTGCAAGTATGAAGTACTTTTAATACTATATACAAATGGTTACGTAAATAATCATTAATACAAATAACTGCAATATAACTCAACAGTTGTCTGTGATATAACTTTTTAAAAAATCAGGAAGATAGTTAGCTCTTCCCATTCTTTGTGTTTTGTTTCTTTGTTGCTATTTTCTTGACAATCTGTTTCTTTGCTGTCGCCTTCTTTGTTGTTGGTTTCTTCGTTGCAGACTTAGCGCCGGGTTTCTTTGTTGCAGACTTAGCGCCGGGTTTCTTTGTTGCAGACTTAGCGCCGGGTTTCTTTGTTGCAGACTTAGCGCCGGGTTTCTTTGTTGCAGACTTAGCGCCGGGTTTCTTTGTTGCTGTCTTAGCGCCGGGTTTCTTTGTTGCAGACTTAGCGCCGGGTTTCTTTGTTGCTGTCTTAGCGCCGGGTTTCTTTGTTGCTGTCTTAGCGCTGGGTTTCTTTGTTGCTGTCTTAGCGCTGATTTTCTTTGTTGTAGGCTTAGTAGTGGCTTTCTTCGTTACAGTCTTAGTAGTGGATTTCTTCATCGCAATCTTAGCGCTGGGTTTCTTTGTTGTGGACTTTCCCGGAGTTTTCTCGTTCTTAGTCACCTTCTTGAGCGCAGACTTCTTCAGCTCCTCCTTGGAAAGTCTGAAGGAGCCGGAGGCGCCGGTGCCCTTGGTCTGCTGCAGGGACCCGCTGGCGACTCCTCTCCTCAGCGCCTGCTTCAGGTGCACGCCGGCGGCCTTCTCGTCCCCGACCTGGAAGGAAGCGAGGATGAACTTGAGGATGGCTTGGCGAGAGGACCCGTTGCGCTCCTTGAGGGCCCTGAGGGCGGCGGCGACCATCTCGCTGTACTTAGGATGGGCGCGCTTGGTCGAAGGACGCTTGGCCGACGTGCTCGACATGACGGAAGGACAGGGGCGAGAAGGCGTTGAGAGACTTTCCGATGCAGTCGTGGCGACGCAGGAGAGGCAAGTGACGCCCTGGCTGCGAGGCGGACCTTAATAAGGGCACCGAGGGACGAGGTTTCCCGGATCTCGAATAGGCAGACGCTTTGCTAGTATGTGCCCGTGTTTTCTTTGCGTCTTCTTATACAGTGCATGGGTGGGATGGAGTTATTTCGTTACCAGAGAAAGACTCGCATATGCATGCATGCGTGTTTCTGTTAGAAAGTGAAAGAAAATAAAAACTCATAAATCAAACAGGAATGAAAAACAAGCTGTCCAACCTGAAATTCTGAATAGTTTATTCATGCAAGTACTTTCTCTGGAAATTCTCACAATTGATAAAAGTGCAACTTCTTTATAACTCTCCCTCTCTATCTCTCCATATATACACATATATATGCACACACATATATGTCTATATATATCTTCTCGTTCCCTTCCCTTCTGGCTTCCTAGCAGTGTCTCCCTTAAATTCGAGCTGTCTTCTCTTCAGTCGTTTCAATTTATCTCTATCTGCGTTTAGTGCCGTACTTGAGTGATTATTTTCTTGCTCCCCTAAGGATATTGCGCATTCTGCATATCAAGGGTGAGAATTGGGCTAGATTCAAATCTTCTTTCAATTTGTCCAAATTTCATATTTTCACACTATGAAATTACCCTTAGATTATTAAATAACTATCAATTATTAAACCATTGATAATATATATATATATATATATATATATATATATATATATATATATATATATATATGAAGACATATATTTATACATATACATACATATTTAAATGTATTTATATACACATATGCACACACACACACACACACACACACACATATATATATATATATATTTATATATATATATATATATATATATATATATATATATATATATATATATATATATATGAACGTACACGCACATACATATATCTTACATGCACATATAGACGCATGTGTGTATACATAAGTATAGATATATATGTGTA